CGAGCACTATCCGCGAAGCCCCTGAGCCAAGCGACATTAGCGAACGGCAATCCCCCCTGCTCTCTAGGGAAGATTATGAGGCTATGCAAAGGCGAATTGCCGAACTGGAGCAGATAAAGCACAACAATGATATGCTCCAAAAGCTTAGCGAAACCGTCGAGCGCATGCAACGAGCCCTGGACGCGCAGAACAAATCTACCACCTCACCCACGCGTACCACTCCAGACGAAACCACGTAGATATCACTCAGAACGAGATCTGCGCCGCCTAGAACGCCTGCTGAAGACGACGACCTCGAACCATTGACCCGAAATGACGATTCCTCAGACGCAGATACCAAGAGTGTCCCAAAAGTCCCATTCACTGCGGGCTTCCAATTCAAAAACATGCACGATTACACCAAGTTTGTTAATAGCATGACGGTGCACTTTGAACAGCACCATCGATACTATGCTAAGGAACACCGAAAGGTGCAAGCAGCAGTTCCACTGCTCGCTGACAAGACACTCGGCCAATGGATAAGGCACCGAGAATCATTACCTGCGAAGCAGACGTGGGAGCAGCTCACCCAATTCCTGCTGAAGCAAGTGAACGACCCAAAGACCCTAGCACGCCGTGCGCTACAGAAATACACAGATGCTAGGCAGCTGGAAGCGCAGACAGTGGCTGACTTTGCAGCGTACCTGGAGCAATGGGAATCTCAGCTCAGCATTAGCTACACTGACGAGCAGCGAAAGGCGCAGCTCTGGACAAAGCTACGCCCCAACATCCAAAGCGAGATCCTGACCCGCCAGATTGCAGAAGACATCTCTTACACTGGCTACGTGGACGAAGCCACAGCCATTGAAAGAGAACTTACTGAACGCAATGAACGCAAGGGCTACACGCCCCGGAGAGCAGATACGTCTGCCCGCGGCGGATATCAAGGAAGAGGCAGAGGCCTAGGCCCAAGGAAGCGCAGCTTCTACGACCGAAAGGAGCAGAACCCCAGGGAGGGCAGGAGCACCTTCAAGTGCTATAACTGCGGTGGCGAGGGCCATATAGCGGCAAAATGCCCAAAGCGCGTGAAACACGACGCAGAGCCAAAAAACTAGACAGTCCAGTGATGTGTGCGGCAGCAGCACTGGGCCTGGGCAATGGAACTACAGACACTGCGTCCCTAACACTTGACATGCAAGTAGCCGCAGATGAACCTGCTAGAGGCGCAGTAGGGAAGCATGTCAACTCACTCCTAGATACAGGAGCGCAGGGAAACTTCATTAGCCAATGCTGGGCGAAGGAGAACCTGCCATTGCGAGCAATGGGCACACCTTACCAAATCAAGGCAATTGATGGCCGGAAGGTGATGTCGTATGGAAGATATCATCTCCATGTCACAGCAACAGATGCGCGGGGAATAGCCCGGAGCATCAAAACAGAATTCCACGCAGTGGATATGCTAGGGCATGATTTCATCTTGGGATGGCCGTGGCTGGTAGCAGCGAACCCGATAATCAATTTCGTGCAACGCACATGGGAATATCGGGCTGACGAAGATCCAGCGGACACACCTGAGGTGGAAATCATGTCGCCTGACGAATGCGCAAAGGACATCCTTGCAGGCAACGCAACATTCATTATCTACCCACGGGAGATAGTGGACGGAGAGGTGCTCTCATTCTTTGCCTCGCTAGTAGGCGAACCAACGCTGCCAGAACGATACCATGAGTTCGCAGACGTCTTCTCAGATGAAGAAGCCAATGTGCTCGCGCCTAATGCGGAGCATGACCACGCCATTGAGCTGGAACCAGGGAAGCAACCCCCGTTCAGACCAATATACAACCTTTCTGCTACGGAGCTGAAGGTCTTGAAGACGTATATCGAGGAAGCGCTAGAGAAAGGTTGGATCCGGCAATCCAAGAGCCCTACAGGAGCACCTATCCTCTTTGCGCCAAAGAAAGACGGCGGCCTACGATTGTGCGTTGACTATCGGGGCCTAAACGCCGTCACTATCAAGAATCGCTACCCACTACCCCTGATTAGCGAAACGCTAGACAGGCTATCAGGAGCAAAGATCTTTACGCAGCTAGATCTGCGTGACGCGTACCATCGCATTCGGATCAAACCAGGCGATGAGTGGAAGACTGCGTTCCGAACGCGATACGGGCACTATGAATACCAAGTGATGCCCTTTGGACTGGTCAACGCACCAGCTACATTCCAGGCCTACATCAACAGCGCACTTAGCGATCTGCTTGATGTATGCTGTGTCGTCTACCTGGATGACATATTGATCTACTCCCAGAGCGAGGAGGAGCACGAGAAACACGTGCGAGCAGTTCTACGTCGACTGCGGAAGGCTAAGCTATATGCTAAGCTTAGCAAATGCGCATTCCATGTGGAAGAAGTGGACTTCCTAGGCTTCATAGTTAGAATCCACGGAGTGCGCATGGAGCCCAAGCGAGTTGAAACCATCAAGGAATGGCCAATACCGCGCAGCGTGAGGGAGATACAAGTCTTACTAGGCTTTGCGAACTTTTACCGCAGATTTATTGAGAAATACTCGCAGATTACTACACCCCTGTCGGAGCTGACAAAGAAAGATAACAAAACTGCGCAATTCACGCTGACGCAAGATGCGCTGTGAGCATTCGAAGAGCTAAAGCAACGCTTCATGACTGCGCCGATACTACAGCATTTTAACCCAGAACTACAGATTCGACTGCAGACAGACGCGTCGAAGTGGGCAATAGCTGGTGTGCTCACCCAGCTATTCGGAGCAGAATGGCATCCAATAGCATTCTGGTCAAGGAAGCTCATCGCAGCAGAGAAGAATTACCAAACACATGACTCAGAGCTACTAGCAATAGTGGAGTGCTTCAAGCAGTGGAGGCACTACCTAGAAGGGAGCAAGTTCCCTATCTTAGTGTTGTCTGACCACGCCAATTTATGCTACTTTATGACGACGAAGAAGCTAAATCCGCGTCAGACGAGGTGGGCAGAATACTTATCTGCGTTCGATTTCTTAATCAAACATTGCCCAGGGGCTAGCAACCCCGCAGATGCGCCCAGTCGTCGCCCAGACTACGCAGACACAACGGAAATTGAGGACGCAGACCTACCATGGCTGCCAACGTTGCAAAACAAACTGCGCGTAGGGCTGTTAAGACTAGACAAACACCTCCTGCAAAGAGAAATACGAGCGTGCGTGGCACGGCTCAGAGGGGCGCAAGAGGTGAACCAGGAGCATCTCACGGATATCCAAATGGAAGCTGCTACCCACGGACAGAACGCACCGTTGGATGAGAGAGACACTGCTGGCGATACAGGAGTTCTGGACCTCCTGGTGCCGCGGAGCAACGTGCGTAATGCGCTTGCTTCCGAAACGGCCTACTCCGCGGACATCCCAATAGCTATGGTAGATCTGCTATGAATGGTTCAAGACGTTGACTCATTTACGCAGCAGAAACTGCTTGACATAGCTAGAGGGAACGCAGATAAGCCGAGTCACTCGAAATGGAAGGTCGAAGATGGACTTCTTCGATATGGAAACTGTGTCTACGTGCCGAAGTCCGCAGCACTGCGCGCGGAAATAATGAAAACAAACCACGATGATCCACAGGGGGGTCACCACCGGCACAGACGCACCTTGGAAAGCATCAAGCACAGATACTTTTGGCGTGAGTTAGTGCAAGATGTCAAGGTGTATGTTGAGGAGTGCAATGTCTGTCAAAGAATCGCAGTACACAGGCATAAGCCTTATGGCGAGCTAGAACCGCTACCTGCTCCCGCCAAAGTGGCGCAGTGGGTAAGCATGGACTTCATCACAGGCCTCCCACCATCAAAATGGCAGGGGAAGGTATATGACGCAGCGATGGTGATTGTTGATCTCTATACAAAGTACTCACTCTACATCCCAACGAGGAAGGACATTGACGCGACGCAGCTAGCAGAGATATTCTATGAGAAAGTTATACCATTACTAGGCATGCCGGAGAACCTTGTGTCAGACAGGGGCAACCTATTCACCAGCGCGTTCTGGTCAACTCTCTGCTACTGCCTAGGAGCACGCAGAAGGCTATCAACAGCCTTTCACCCGCAGACTGACGGGCAGACAGAACGCATGAACCAGGTCCTAGAGTACTACCTACGAGCATATGTCAGCTGGATGCAAGATGACTGGACTAGATGGCTGCCAATGGCGCAGTTCGTCTATAATAACGCAACGCACAGTGTGCTAGGCATATCGCCACAATTCGCACTTATGGGTTTCGAGGCAAACCTACAGATCAACATACCAGCCCCAGAAAACGCAAAGGCACCTGCTGCGGCAGACAGAGTAATAGAACTAGGTGAGAACCGCGCAAAACTGCGTGTCCTGCTCGCGAAATCAAAAGAGCAGATGAAGAAGTGGTATGACAAGAAGCACACCAAGATATCACTGAACGTTGATGACTATGTCATGCTGAGAGCAAAGAACATTACTATCCCAAGACCAACCCAAAAGCTCGCGAGCAGATTGCTCGGCCCCTTCCAGATCGCGGAGAAATGGGGAAAGCAAGCATACAGACTGCGCTTACCTGAATCATGGAAAATACATGACGTGTTCCATATATCGCTGCTTGAGCCTTATAAGGGCAATGCTAAGCGAGCACCGCACCCAGGGCCCATAATCATCGAAGGCAACAAAGAATGGGAGATAGATGCTATCCTAAGACATCGAAAAGTGCGCAATAAAGATCAATATCTTGTCCATTGGCGCGGATGGGAAGACGAGCACAATACATGGGAACCCTACGAGCATGTCAAAGATACTGAAGCCCACGAGCAGTTTATAAAGTCTACAAGAGAGAGCAGATAATCGAACGAGAGAACTTCTTCAATTCAAAGGCCCGAAGGCCGCGCCTACAGCGCAAAACAAGAAACGACACAACGGCTCTACCCCCAAAGGGGGAGCGAACTACAAGCTATATGACGCAGTTAGCCCAGTACTGGTACAGCAAGAAGAACGCAGACCCCACTTACTCAGAGAAAAACTGAACCGCGGCGGCCCAAATACCTGCAGGAGCAGGCGCGGCCATCGGGGACCCCGGCGCAGACACAAAAGGGGGAGTCGGAGAAGCAGCAGCAGCAACAGGCGCCAACGCAGGGGGGGCCCCGCGGGGCAGAGGACCGCCGCTCGCGGCGACCCGGGCCCGAAAAGCCTGAGCCGCGCGAGCGACGGCCTCAAGAGCGAGACCCACAGCACGGGGGTGCGCAACCTCCAAAGCCACCTGGGCAGCAACCACGTCGTCGGCCTCGGGGAGCGCGGCGGCAGGGAACTTCAAAAGGAGAGCAAAATCAGTATCTGCGACGAGAACAGAGAGCACAAGGGGAAACGCACGGATTGGCAGGGCTGGTGTAGGGCCCGACAACGGAGGCACTTGGCCCCATCTTGGCTATAGCCGTTACAAAACGGCAACGGCGCCCCCCCACCCCATCTGGGCGCCTGTAGGCACCGGTAGCAATGCTCTCCCACGGGAGCGCGGCCCGGACCGAGGGGGGGGGCGAGCGACGACGCAGCGGGAGGTGGTGGCGGAGGCGGGGGCGGCGCAGCGGAGGCGGGAGCGGAGATGACGACGCCAACCAGGGCGCCCCCCCGGCCACGAGACACACCACGCCCGCGACCAGCGCGAGCAGCAACACGCCCACGACCAGGAGGGCGACCCCGACGGCCACGAGGAGCCGGAGCAGGAGCAGTGGCGGCAGCAGTGGCAGCAGGAGCAGCGGCACGGCGGGCAGCGCGGGCACGACGAGCGGCAGAGCCGCGAGAACGGACGTTGGCCATGTTTCTATACGCGAAGTCAGCATTCGTCCAAATTCCGGCAAACGCAGCGAGGGACTCGATGTGTTTATAAGCCGACGGGGCCAAGAGCTGTCGACGCAGAAAAGAAACAAAGGATACACGCCCAGAAGAGCATTAAATCAAAGGAAACGATGCGAACGAAGCTGCAGGGAGCATTGAACGCATAAGAGACGCGACAAAGAGAACACAAAATAAAGGGAACAAGCCGACTGTCGCAGATATTGCGGGAATCCCAGCCAAAACAAAGACAAAGACCGCAGAACACCAGAATCCCCCGCAAAACAAAGGGCAGACGCGCCCCTGCTCAAGAAACGCTGAAATAACGAGAAAGGAAACCTCCGAGCAACGACTGGAAGCTATCTCCATACTGGGAGCTGCGTGTGCTTCGTCGAAGCGACTGTGCTATCGCATCAACACAAGCAAATCGCGTCAACTCGCAACAGGAGAACCAGCGACCGCGTGCGCTCGCAGAAAGAAGGAGATACAGATCTTGCGATCGCGAAGACGATTATGCGAACAATAAAGAAGCACGCAGCGAAGGAGAACGAGAAAGATCACTTATAAAATGATGGATTTGACGTCGCTGGAGAGGGAGAAGAAGGAGAAGAAAACGTCTACATGTCTACGAAGCTGGAAGTCTACAGCTACTGCGCTATGCTAAGTGAGCAATAAGCGAAGCTATTCAAACGCATTCACTATGGGCAGAACAATAAGATTAAATCGCGGTACAATGGTGTTCGCTGCAACGAACAACACTCCGGTCGGCGATGACGTCGCCAGCCCACACCAACGAAAGCGACGGAGCAACGGCGATATCTACTATTTGATCTGACTAATGAGAAGACGCAGTTCGCATGATGAAAAGAGACGTTATAATCAACCTCTGGCTGCAGGGACGCAGCATACGAAGAGGGGAGATAACTGTTAGACGCGAAGAACATGTACATAGCAAACTGCGGGTGGTCACGCGGGTAGCACGTGACCCACAGAGATATTGTCCCCACTGAGGTGCGAGAGATGCTCGCACCTCAGCGATTAGTTCAACTACGAAGGCATTGCTACTACCACGCTATCTACCACTTGATAGAGAGCATCTTATAGGTGCTCTCACACCTAGTTAGGAAAATTATACTAAAATAAAATAACCTAGGTAACCTAACTGGGTAGCCCAGTTGGGTTCTGGGCTGGGCTTGGGCTCAGGGGGGGTGTTCTGGGTTTTACCTGGGCTGGGTTTTGGGCTCAAGGGGGGTGTTCCAGGTTGGGTTTTGCCGAGGTCTATGGATAGCTTTAATCAACTAATCCCTCTACTAAACATAGAGAGACTCCTGAAGCTAGCTTACTAAGCAGACCCAACCATGCAATCCATCCTACATGCACTAGATGAAGATGAGGATAGACACCCTAAGATCACCCTAGATGACTATGAGAGGAGAGGAGATTACCTCTACTACTAAGAGAAACTTTATATCCCAGACCATGATGAATTAAAAGCAGAGCTATTATAATCCTGCTATAAGAACCCTGCTGCTAGCCATCCTGGCAGAACTAAGATATATAAGCTACTATTACAAGAGTACTACTGGCTAAATATGTACTAATATGTGGACTAATGGGTCTAGAACTGCCATACCTGCTGCTGTACAACCTCCTCTAATAAAGCCCATTAAGGATTCCTACACCCACTGCCTGTACCTAAATGATCCTGGTAAGATATCTCTATAGACTTTATCACAAACCTACCTTCCAGCTAAGGCTATGATGTAATACTGGTTATGATAGATTAACTCACAAAGATAAAGCACTGCATCCCTTGTAAGGGAACCTATGACACTAAGCATGTTGCTTAACTATACATCTATTATATCTAGAAACTACATGGCCTGCCAAGGACTGTAGTATCTGACTAAGGACCCCAGTTTGTTACTGCCTTCTAGAAACATCTGACCCAATACCTGAGAATTAAGAGCCTGCTGTCCACCACATACCACCTAGAGACTAATAGCCAGACAGAGATTACAAATACCATTCTGGAACAATACCTGCGCGCATACATCACCTACCTGCAAGACAACTGGGCTGAATGGTTGCCCTTAGCTAAGTTCACTACTAATACTATTTGCTCCAAGACTACCTGAGTATCACCCTTCTTTGCTAATTACAGCTTCCACCTATGTATAGGGTTTAAGCCTATCCAGCCTGCTAATGAACCTGCTGCCTAAGATACTAAAGAATTTACTTATAAGATACAGAAGATTATTAAGTTTATCTATGCTGAAATCTTGATCATATAGGCTTATTATAAAGAGCAGGTGAATAAGAAATAAAGACCTGCCTACTACTTCTATATAGACTAGAGAGTTTAGCTAGATGCCTGTAACATTAAAACACTGTAACCTAAGAAGAAGCTAAACTAGAAATAACTAGGACTATTTCATATTAAGAAGATCATCAGCCCATACGCCTATGAATTAGATCTGCCTGCCTCTATGAGAATATACCTAGTGTTTAATGTCAGCCTGCTCCGCCCTGCTACTAAGGACCCTTTACCTAGCTAATAATAAGACCCACCACTGCCTGTTAAGGTAGATGGATTAGAAGAATAGTATATTAAGGAGATCCTAGATTCCTGCTGGGAATGAAGGGGCTGTGGAGGCCCTTACCTGAAGTACACTATTAAATAGGTTAGATATAATAAGCCTACTAAGGAGCCTGCTATATACCTAGTTCATACTTCTAAGCTAACTAAGAACTTTTACTATTGCTATCCTGATAAGCCTGGCCCTGACCTTAATAGAGCTTAGTCCTAAAGAGGGGAGTACTGTCATAGTATTAACTTATATATTACCTAAGGCACTATTAAAGCCTTATCATCATATGACCTATACTAAGAATATCCTGCATCCTAATCTGCCTGCTGTTTGTAGCTCCTTGAGCTATGTCTTGTCTATGCACCTGTAGATAGCCTGACCTGTAGCTAGAGTTCATGAGTGTCAACTACCTATCCATTACTGCCTGCTCTCCCTGTAAACCAGTCCCATGACAATATATACTTATATTTCTCTTTGCAGGAGGTGTTTATCTAGTCTTAATAGCCCTATATATAGTTTATTTTATAATATTAGTAGCTATAGTAGGTCTGCATCCTTAATTTCTGTTATATCTATATAGTCTAGGTAATGACTAGGCATATCTATAGGGTTGCTAGCCCCTAGGTAATATTTAATTAAGAAATTAAATATAGATAAGTATTCTGTCTATCTTATCTAATATAGATTTAGCTTCTTTATTATTATAAAGTAGTATAAATTAGCATAGTTAAATAATACTAGGATACGGAACTTACTTTCTTCTAGATAGTGCCTCCACTGCTTAAAGTACTTTATAATTACTAGTAGCTCTAAATTATATATTTAGTAGTTCTTCTCTGCTATAATAAGCTTTCTTAACTAGAATACTATTAGATGCTATTCTACTCTAAATAGCTAGGTAAGTATACTAGCTATTACCTATTTTAATATATCTATCTATAGTTAAATCTATAATTTTAGGTTAAAATATTATAGTATTAGTATAGTTATAAAGTATTACTTTAGCTCTTTAAATACTTATAGTACTTCTTATATTAGTATAAATTATATAATTTTATTATCTTTCTTTGTTAGCTCTAATAGGGGTATAGTAATCTATAAGTATTTCTTAATAAATCTATAGTAGAAGTTTATAAACCCTAGGAAGACTTATATCTCTCTTATACTATATGGTATTAGCTATTCTTTAATAGTTTTAACTTACTTAGGTTCCATGCACACTCTATAGATTCTAATTATAAAGCCTAGGAAATCTACTTCTTCTATATAGAATATATATTTACTAAGCTTAGCATATAGCTTAGCCCTCTATAGTTAGTATAAAACTACTTATATGTGTCTTTTATACTCCTTCTTACTCTAGGAGTAGATTAATATATTATCTAGGTAGATGACATAGTATATATTAAGTAGATTACTTAGTATACTATTAATATAAGTCTAGAAAGTTACTAGTATATTAACTAGTCTAAAAGGCATCACCTAGTATTTATAGTGCCTATATTATGTTTAGAATGTAGTCTTCTACTTATTACCTAGTTTAATCTAGATATAATAATATATATTATATAGGTCTAGCTATATAAAGATCTTTGCTCCTAATAGCCTGTCTAGTATCTTGCTAATTAGGGGTAGTAGGTAGTAGTTCTTAATAGTAATAGTATTTAGGCCCTGATAGTTAATATATAATTATAGGCTGCTATCTTTCTTTAGTATAAAGAGAATAGGTGCTCCTGTAGGGCTCTTAGATTATTATATCTATCCTTTCTCTAGTACTTTCTTAATATATATCTTTAAGATCTTTAGCTCTATAGCAGAAAGGTTATATATTAGCCTAAATAAGGGTTACTTCCCTAATTCTAGCTCTATAGTATGGTTATACTCTGTATTAGGTATAAGTATATTAGCTTCCTTATCTAAGAAGATATCTATAAACTTATAATACTATTCTAGAAGTACTGATTTACCTACTAGTAAGGTAAAGAGTAAGAGTACTTCTCTATCTATTATCTCTTATAGGTAGATGATAAATATTATATTACCTATAAGAATACCCTCTATATATTTATTAGATAATATAATTTCTATCTCTAGTATATTAGCTAGATCTTTATTAGCCTAATATTCCTATATGTATTATATAAAATTAATTATTAGATTTACTACTACCAGCCATAGCTATCCTAAGATGAAATTATATCCTAGCATATCTACTATATAGAATTCTGTTTTAATGCTCTAGGCTATTCCCTATATATCTATTACTATGATATAGAGATAATATCTCCTATATAATATTATCTTCTAGCTATTAATTACCTTAATCTAGTAAGATTGTTGGTGAAAACCATGCTATAGTTGATTGTTGACCATATCCATGGGTTGATCCGCTAT